TATAATAATAGCTTTTTATTATATTAAATATAATAATAAATATATATTATATTATAATTATATATATATGATAATATAATATAATATAATATGGTCGTAATTTTTAACTATTCTCAACAATTCAATCTCATAATTTATCAAACGCTATTACAATGATTTTAGAACCAGCACAGCTACTATAATTATAATTTATCAAACACTCAGCTGCTTTTTGTAACAACTGCTTCTTCCTTCAGCACAGCTAAAAATAAATTTTCTAAAATCTATAGTACTACCAAACTAAGCCATTATTTATTAGATTTCAACATTTTTCCTCTTTAAAAGAGGAAGCTCCAACGTTTTATAAGAGTTAACAAAACTTTAAACCTTTTATTTTCAAAGTTTTCATAAACTATAATCCAAAAAAAAAAAAAAAACAAACTAGTTGTGCCGCCCAATATTGCCCCTATGCCACGTGCATATCTCTTCTCTTCTCTTAACATTGTCGCGGTCGATAATACCAATCACCACAGTCAATCTTCAAATGAAAGTACATTTTTTTATTGGCGGCAAAGATCAGAGCCAACTAGCAAGTGCTCCACAAGGGTTGTCGTACAACTATTTCTATTTATAAATTAGATCAATGCAAAATTAATTTAACAATTAAAACAAAATTACCTTTTGACAGTGAAAAATGAAAGTTCGTCAATAAAAACTTCATATTTTGTAGGAAGCTAAGACGTTTGGAATGAGGATTCGGACCATAATTCGAATTATGATTCGTGAATTGTTATAATATTTTCTCTTACAAAAAGTACATATAAAACGAGAATGATTCTGAATCTATGAACCAAACGTTTGAAGTCACAATAACATATCAATCTAGTCGATTTAATAAGGTTAATTTATTGCACGGAAGAATTACTAACTCCATTTAGCATAGTTCAAGAGATCCACTGATAATTGACAACATTGTTCTTAAAAACCTGTCAATATAAACTTGATTTAACATGTGTAATTTTTTTTTTTTGAAACATTCTAAATTCCTGTTGAGGAGATTTTCTTTATTCAGTTATTTTTTTAAGGACTTCTCCATTATTATTATTTTTTTTCTTTTGGAGAACTTTTAATTCCACTTCTAGAAAAGGTTTTTCTAAAAATCTCAAGTGTATGATAAGTTCTTAGTGCACAAATTTAAAATTATTATCGATTTATGTGTATTTTTTATGAAAAAAAAATACTATAACAAATACGAATCATAATACGAATTCTCATACTAAATACTTTCCTAATAATTTACTTGACCAACCTTGCAATAGGGGAAATCTTGGATTATGCTCCCAAGAAGCGCATATTCCACAATCTCCAATTTCCAAATTAGGTAAAAATAAAAATTAATTTGGTATCCAGCAAGAAAATAAAAAACAATTTGACTACTCAACCAACAGTAATAGAACACTCTAGAACATCCCATCACAAACGGTTCTGTTTGAACTTTGAACTTTGATCGTGACATATGAATTTCCATTTTTGACCCGAAAGGCTTCCGGTTCACGTGATCTCTTACGCAAATCAAGCTTCCATTGGCTCACTCAACCCCAACTTTCCTTTGATTTCTGTTCGAATATTCCCCGATTATTCCCCACGCTCGTTTTAGGCAAGTGCAAATCTACCGCGAATAGGAGACGTTTAGTTCATGTATTAAAATTATGATATTATAACTATTTTTTATTTATATATATTTTTTATAAAAAAAAATATTATAATAAATAATAAATCATGATTCGAATCGGGGTACGAATTTCTCAACAAAATAACTCTTTAATCATAATCAGCGGCTAATAAAAGGAGTTTTAATTAATCAGCGGCTCGGAGCCAGTTTCGTCTTGCCCAAGGAAAACCGTAAACCCCAACCCATTGCCTTTGCACGTGACCTTGCTCCTTTAAATGCAAGCCCACTTCTTAACGCTCCGAAACCACTAACTATTCGCTTTTTCTCTCTATCATTTCTCTATCGCTCTCCTTTAATTATTCTTAACAATTCAACCTCATAATTTACCAAACACTATTACATTGATTTTAGAACCATCACAGCTACTATAATTATAGTTTACCAAACACTCAACTGCTTTTTGTAACAGTTACTTTTTATAACAGCTGTTTTTTCCTTCAACACAGTTAAAAATAATTTTTCTAAAATCTACAGTACTACCAAACTAAGCCATTATTTATTAGATTTTAACATTTTTCCTCTTTAAAAGAGGAAACTTCAACGTTTTATAAGAGTTAAAAAAACTTTAAACCTTTTATTTTCAAAGTTTTCATAAACTATAATCCAAAAAAAAAAAAAAAACAAACTAGTTGTGCCGCCCAACATTGCCCCCTATGCCACATGCATATCTATTCTCTTCTCTTAACATTGTCATGGTCGATAATACCAATCACCACAGTCAATCTTCAAATGAAAGTAACATTTTTTTATTGGCGGCAAAGATCAGAGCCAACTAGCCAAGTGCTCCACAAGGGTTGTCGTACAACTATTTCTATTTATAAATTAGATCAGTGCAAAATTAATTTAACAATTAAAACAAAATTACCTTTTGACAGAGAAAAATGAAAGTTCGTCAATAAAAACTTCATATTTTGTAGGAAGCTAAGACTTTTGGAAAGAGGATTCGGGTCATAATTCATGACTTATTATAGTATTTTTTATCACAAAAAGCATACGTAAAATGAGAATAGTTCTGAATCTATGAACCAAACATTTGAAGTCATAATAACATATCAATCTAGTCGATTTAATAAGGTTAATTTATTGCACGGAAGAATTACTAACTCCATTTAGCATAGTTCAAGAGATCCACTTATAATTGACAACATTGTTCTTAAAAACCTGTCAATATAAACTTGATTTAACACGTGTAATTTTTTTTTTTTGGAAACATTCTGAATTCCTGTTGAGGAGATTTTCTTTATTCAGTTATTTTTTTAAGGACTTCTCCATTATTATTATTTTTTTCTTTTGGAGAACTTTTAATTCCACTTCTAGAAAAGGTTTTTCTAAAAATCTTAAGTGTATGATAAGTTCTTAGTAGACGTTTAGTTCACAGATTCAGAATTATTATTAATTTATGTGTATTTTTTATGAGAAAAAATACTATAACAAACTACGAATTATAATACAAATTCTCACACCAAACACTCTCTTAGAGCCCGTTTGGTTCATAGATTAGAACCATTTTTGATTTATGTGTGTTTTTTATGAGAAAAAATACTGTAACAAATTATAAACTATAATTCGAATCAGAGAATAAATCTTCCAACTAAACAGACTCTAAATAATTTACTTGACCAACCTTGCAATAGGGGAAATCTTGGATTATGCTCCCGAGAAGCGCATATTCCACAATCTCCAATTTCCAAATTAGGTAAAAATCAAAATTAATTTGGTATCCAGCAAGAAAATAAAAAACAATTTGACTACTCAACCAACAGTAATAGAACACTCTAGAACATCCCATCACAAACGGTTCTGTTTGAACTTTGAACTTTGATCGTGACATATGAATTTCCCTTTTTGACCCGAAAGGCTTCCGGCTCACGTGATCTCTTACGCAAATCAAGCTTCCATTGGCTCACTCAACCCCAACTTCCCTTTGATTTCTGTTCGAATATTCCCCGATTATTCCCCACGCTCGTTTCTGTTCAAATCTACCGCGAATAAAATGTTTAATTCATAAATTAAAATTATGAGATTAAAATTATTTTTTATAAAAAAAAATATTATAATAAATAATAAATTATGATTTAAATAGGGTACGAATTCCCAATCAAACAACTCTTTAATCATAATCAGCGGCTGATAAAAGGAGTTTTAATTAAACAGCGGCTCGGAGCCAGTTTCGTCTTGCCCAAGGAAAACCGTAAACCCCAACCCATTGCCTTTGCACGTGACCGAACCACCTGTTGCTCCTTTAAATGCAAGCCCACTTCTTAACGCTCCGAAACCACTAACTATTCGCTTTTTCTCTCTATCATTTCTCTATCGCTCTCCTCGTAATCTCAGTCTCGCTCTACTTTTCTCCAATGGGTAATTCATTTTTGATCCTTTTTCTTTTGTCTCGGTTTCGATGTGATGTTCTTTTGTTGGATCTATTTTTATCCGACTTATGTTTTCATTTCTGTGATTAATTATTATTTTTTATTTTATTGATTAGCAGCTTCAGACAAGAAGATCAAGATCGGAATCAACGGTAATAGTCAGAGCTCAGATCTAATTAACGTGTAGATGAAGCATCAATCTAATTCGTAGATTTGATTTTTGTTTTTTTGTTAGGTTTTTACTGTTCTTTTGCTAAGTGAACTGATTTTTTTTTTGGTGGGAATGTTGTAGGATTTGGAAGGATCGGTCGTTTGGTGGCTAGGGTTGCTCTTCAGAGGAACGATGTTGAGCTTGTTGCTGTTAACGATCCCTTTATCACCACTGATTACATGGTAAGTTTGATGATTGATTACTGCGATTTTGGCTTCGGATTTGTCGAAAAAGAAAATCTGAATTCTGATCTGATGATTTACTGCGATTGATTTCAGACCTACATGTTCAAGTTCGATTCCGTACACGGACAATGGAAGCACCATGACGTCAAGGTCAAGGACTCCAAGACCCTTCTCTTCGGCGAGAAGGCCGTCACTGTTTTTGGACACAGGTATACAGATCGCACTTTTAGAGCACATTCTTTTAGAGTTGCGTTTTACTTGGAAGTGTTAATTTGAATCTTAAAAATGGTTCTGTTTTATTTGGTGTTCGAAGAAACCCGGAGGAAATCCCGTGGGGTGAAACCGGAGCCGATTTCGTCGTCGAGTCGACTGGAGTTTTCACTGACAAGGACAAGGCAGCAGCCCACTTGAAGGTTTGCTCTGATTTCTAATTAATAATTTTGTTGGTTTTGAAAAAATGTGATGTGCTTATGGTTTATGGATGTTTTGTTTTGGCTGGTTTTAGTGGTGTTGTGAGATTTGTTGTTTTGTAATCCGTTTATGTTTTATGGCTATGGATTTTTATTGGAAAATATGGCTATGATGGATTTTTATTGGACAATAAGTCAATTTATTGCCGTGGATTGTTTGATATTTTGGATATCTCGGTGTGAGCTAGAATTTGACTTGGATTGCCATGTATACCAGGGTGGTGCAAAGAAGGTTATAATCTCTGCGCCAAGTAAGGATGCACCCATGTTTGTTGTTGGTGTCAATGAGCACGAGTACAAGCCAGAGTTGGACATTGTTTCCAATGCTAGCTGCACCACCAACTGCCTTGCTCCCTTGGCCAAGGTTGTTTCTTTTCCCATTTTTTTAATTAATTAATTTTTTTTTGGTTTATGTAGCTGCCTGAATTTGTTACTCAGTTTACACTTATCATTGTACTTACGTTAAATTTGCTACAGGTCATCAACGACAAGTTTGGAATTGTTGAGGGTCTCATGACCACCGTGCACTCCATCACTGGTAAGCCATTGTGATTGGTGATGAAGTTAGCTTCGTGGGATCATGATTTATGAATCGAGAAATTGAGCTTTTTTTTTTGTTTTTGTAATTTAGCTACTCAGAAAACTGTCGACGGCCCATCATCGAAGGACTGGAGAGGTGGAAGAGCTGCTTCCTTCAACATCATTCCCAGCAGCACTGGAGCTGCCAAGGTAATTAATATATAGGCTCGTTCAATTGCATTCTTTTTGGGTTTTGTGAATATCATTCACCAATGTTGGCTTTCTTGTTTTTGGTTACACAGGCCGTTGGAAAAGTTCTGCCAGCTCTTAATGGTAAGCTGACTGGAATGTCCTTCCGAGTTCCTACGGTGGATGTCTCAGTTGTTGATCTCACCGTCAGGATTCAGAAGGCGGCAACCTATGAGGAGATCAAGGATGCCATCAAGTGAGCATTGTTTACTGTTTTCTGCTATCTTTTTTGTTATCTGGTTCATTAGCAAACTAGCAAGCATACAATGTCCTCTGCATATTTCAAAGCACAAATGTTTTGTAGTTTAACTTTTAATATGTTACTTTTATATAATCAGGGAGGCGTCTGAAGGCAAGCTGAAGGGTATTTTGGGTTACACTGAAGAAGATGTTGTGTCTACTGATTTTGTTGGTGACAGCAGGTAAGTTCGTAGTTTGATAACTCTTTGTTCTTCTTATACATGTCGTTGAGGTAAATAAAATTGGGAGATACAATCTGGGGTCTACCGTTGGAACACTTGATTTACGAGATGATTGTGGACTTATCTAATTTAATGTTTGCGCTACTTACTACAGGTCAAGCATTTTTGATGCCAAGGCTGGAATTGCATTGAACAGCAACTTTGTGAAACTTGTGTCTTGGTACGACAACGAGTGGGGCTACAGGTAATTACATTTTTCTTCCTCGGCTTTTTGGTGTTTATGGTTTATATTTATTCTGCTTCTTTTCTAACCGTTTTGCTTCCTCTTGTCTTGCAGTTCCCGTGTGGTTGACTTGATCTGCCACATTGCATCCGTCAGCAAATAAACTATACCTTTTGAAGATTCAAGGCTTCTCTTTTCCCCGTTTTGGTCGAGTTTAAAGGTTTTAGTTGTCGGTGTTCTAAGTTTGGAGTTTTGAATAAGCAATGAGGCCTATCATGTAATGTGGTAGTTAGAATTTTATAATTTTGATGTAAACAATTACATGGTCTTCATATGAAATTTATGGAAAGGTGGCTTTCTCTTACTTGTATTTTATCACCCCTTTTCCAGTTTTTGATTATTAGTTCGCACTTGAAAAGCTGGTTTTATTTGAGGTGTCCTAATAAACAAATGAAAAAACTTTCTTCTTTTTCTTTATTATTATTTTTTTTTGGTTCAATGTTCAGCGGTGGTACCTTGTAGGCATTTGTTTAAACCAAATCTATTCCTGATGGGGCAAAATTTTTGCATATTCAACCGTAAGAAAGCCTATGTACCCAAGATGTTACTGCAGAGAACCCCCTCCACCTTTTTATTGTTTTGTCGGGTAAACGCCATCATGTTGTCAAGAAACGATGCATCTTTTGTGCCTTGCGATTCAACGTCGTTTACTCTCTGGGTATGTTTACTTTAGATCAAAGGAAAAAGGTTGATGTAAAAAGAGAAGGAGTGATTCTCTTTCTAATCTAATAATGTGTCTATTTATAAAATTAGTAATGAAGATTTAGTAGGCTTTACACATTATATGAAATGAAGAAAATGAATATTAATCCTTGCACCCACTTTAGTATTAATTTCTTGTTAAAAGAAATGAATACTAAATTTACTTATCTACACTTAGGGCATGTTTATTTTGTATCAAAGGAAAATGGAAAGTAACAAGTGATTCCATTTTCCATCTAATAATGCGTTTACTTAAGAAGATTTAGTGGGCCCCACATAATATAGACAATGAGGAAAGAGAATATCACCTTTTAGTACTGATTTCTTGTCAAAAAGAATAAATACTAAATTTACTTATCTATCATTAATGAATTATTATACATTCAATGCTTATTTAATTGTGTAAAATGACATTTTAGTGATTACATTGATAACATTATTATTCTTAATTTTAAAAAACATAAGAAGAAGAATGGGGTTGTTTCCCATTACACCATCTAATCGTTAAGTAAACAAATGAAAATGAATAAAAGACCCTTAATCTTATTACTTTACTTTCCTTTCTAACCCTATTACCTTTCCCATTACATTTCTTTACTGTTTGGTAAACGCGCATTTAATAAATTACTATACAATCAATGATTATTTAATTGTGTAAAAGAACATTTTAGTGATTACATTCATAAAATTACTATTCCTAATTTTAATAAACATAAGAAAGGGAATTGTGTTATTTTTCATTAGACTATCTGATAATCAAATAAACACAAAAAAGAAAACGAGTGACTCTTAATCTTATTACATAATTTTTTTTTCCAATTCCATTACCTTTTTCATTATATTCATTTACAGTTTACTAAACACGCTCTATATTTAGAAAATTAAAAGGAAACAAACATCAAGGGTACATTTACATTTTAGAAGCCATATTGACGCATACCTGAAACATAAATAAATTTAAGGGAAATAGTAGGAAATAGGTCAATATGAAAAACTTAAGAAAGTATATAGGCTAACTTTTAGTTATAGAAATTAATAGGCCATAACTTGTCAAGTTATGGTTCATAACCAGATAAGTTATGGACAAACTTGTCAAGTTATGGTTCATAGCCAGACAAGTTATGGATAAAAACCGGGAATAACTTGTCAAGTTATGGTTCATAACCAGACAAGTTATGGACGAAAACAGTAATTTGGTCTATTTATTAACTTATGTAAACTATTGACCTATTAATTTTAATTCATCTCAAGTCTTGGCCTATTTTCCTCTTTTTCCCTAAATTCAACAATAAATTCAATCATGAAAAAAAAAAAAAAATTTAAAAGAAACTAGTATGCATAATAAGACCACTGCCTTTCTCTTCCGAAAAATGTGTATGTATAAAAGCCTGCGATCCTTAATCAAAATTAGTATGCATAATACGACCATCGATTAGGAACCTGTAGTTAGTAATATAAATACGGGGTCTAGTCTCGAATGTTGCTATATATTGTTTCTTCAGTTTACGCTGATTCAATAAAGCTTCATTTCTTCAGAAATTGTGAGGTTCCTAACACCATAATGACCGAATACTCCAAAAATCCATTTGATATCTAAGTAGAAAACAAATACACGGTACATTAAAGCCAATACTTCTTAACAATTCCATCGCATGCAAATACAGTATACTTAGAACATAAAGCCAACAACATTAGGTGGCTTGGTGCAAAAAAGATGATATATAGTATCAGGCTAAACAATTATAACACTTAATGGACAGAAAATGTGAAAAAGCTGAATAGGAGGAATAAGCCTAACTTAAACCCATAAAAGATTATAAACATAAACCGTGAGCCTAAAATAAAGTGTTTGTCTTCAAAAATTCAGTTTCAGCTCCCCCTCTCCAAAAAAAAAAAAAAAAAAAAGGTTCATTCTCTCAAGGCATACCTATAAAATTCCATTAATGCTACCGTACCTCTGTTATTTTGATTGAATATGACTACTAAAATAGTATTTGGTAGGAAGATTCGTGTCATGGTTCGAATTATGATTCGTGGGTCGTTACTGTATTTTCTCTCACAAAAAATACACATTAAACGAAAATAATTCTGAATCCATGAACCAAACGTCTACTAAGATCTTCTTGAACTTTATCTCAATAAAAGAGCTTGCAAGGCATTATCCTTTTCACTACTATCATGGCACAATTACTCAGGAATCCATTTTGATGGTAAAGTAGAAAACAATTACTTCTTAGTTAAACAAATTCATATCCAAGCTTAAAAGTTAGAACACTATTTTAACAACATTTGAAAGTGTCTTGGATACTAATTTTGCTTCCATATAATAAATGTTCAGCTTTGCATTTGTTAATTAACAGCCTCTGGTGGAATGCACTTGTGAGAAAATTCGCGGTCCAAAAGCATCCTGTTACATCATACGAAAATATTGAATCAATTTGTGTTTCGTACCTCTCAAGTGTAGCTTCATAAACTAGAGCCTTTGGTAGAATCCACTTGTAGAGCTACGTCGTGGTCCAAGAACATCCTATCATATCAATCAAAATATAAGTATATACATAGAACATTAGGCATATAAATGGTATAATAGATATTTCAACTTGTACTATAATCACCACAACAACTAAACCAACATTAACAGACACTTTTGCAGTAGCAGCCGTAATGAAGGTCCACAAAACCAGAAGAAAATACGACAATATATAGAACAATGCAGATCAGCATCAACTTATTGCCAAATTTTAACTATTCAACTATGCGACAACGACACACTTGGTTAATTGGTTAATGAGGTGCTCCAGTGCTAAATCCACAGAGCATTCAGGGCGAAACTCGTTACAAATTAGAAAATTGAACATGAATAGTGGCGGGAGAAAACCTCCTCTTTCATGTCAAACTTGCGAGAAGCAGATTCTTTTAATAATGAGCAAACTTTCCCTTGCGACTTCTTATTGTTGGTGAAAATTTCGCAAAGGAATTTGTCTATTGTGTACTGATCGACTCCACCACTGAGAATAGGAAACTGCGATATTGGGCACGTTTAGAATTCGTTCTAAAATGATTTTATTTTTTGTATGAAAATTAAAATGAAAACGTTTTTAATTTCAGATAGAAATCATTTTTAAAAATGTGTTTGGTAGTTTTATCAAGAGATTATTTTTAGTATTAAAAAAACCCATTAATGTCTCTCTCTGCTCGAGAGATGAGAAAATGAAAATAAAAAATGAAAAATGATTAAAAGTCGTTTTTCATTTTTCTCTCGTTTTACACTAAATTAAAAAATCATTTTTCATTTCTGTTTTTTTTGTCTTTATTGTGTTAAATGCCGTTTTAGAAACGTTTTTATTTTTTCTTTCTCAAAAAATATGAAAAATAAAAACGGGATCAATTCCTAACACGTCCATTAACTCTCTGAAACGCTTATGAAAATGATCATAAAACATACGATTCTTATTTAGCTACTTAAACATGAGACTACGAAGCTTGTAGTACGAGTCATCCTCTAAAAATAGATGACAATATGATGATCCCCCATCTCGTCCAGCTCGGCCAATTTCGTACAGAATCAAATCACTCTTTCGTTTAGTGAACTTCAGTTCTAATATAACCTCAAATAGCAAGAGGTTTCAAAGCACATTTCAACCTGAACACAGTCGTCCAAGCTTTCTGGCAAGCTGTAATGAATGACCCGAAGCAGATGCTATTAAGCGAATCGCAATACTAAATCCTAAGAACTTGGGACTAATGCAAAGCCACCATTGTGCTTTGCAATTTGCATGGATACAAATGTCTATAGAGTAGAAGCACATCTTTTAGATATCCATAATATCAGATTGAAGGTCTGTTTTATAATTCATAAAGGAAATATGATTCCTTCAGTTCGAAAGACTTTGTGGGAACTTGGAGAACATGACACATTCAAAATTGGATTACGTATACCGTCGTCTTAAGGTAGCATCTAATCTGATACAATGCAACAAATCACTACTATAATGTGCATAGTATTCTTACAGCGCCAATACCAAATGCCACAGTTGCAACAACCTTTGATTAAAGCAAAGAGTTAATGACTCGAGAAACTATAAAAGTGGTTCACTATATGCCCGTTTATTTACCGATTTGAGTTTAGAATTTAAGTTTTGATATAGTAAAAAACTCTTAATAAATTCTCACATAAAATCACATCTCAACTCGAATTAAAAATTCGAATCAGCGAACTAAACGGTGTCTATATGTCTATAGAAAGACCAATAGACAGGAAAATGTAAAATGTTTATTACTAAATTGACTCACTGAGTTGACTCGTTATACTCACCACTCGGATCTCGTTGGTGCAAAATAACTCCTGTAAACGGCTACGGTCTTTGCAGGTATACTCGGATTTGGTTATTACGTCAGTTTCAGACTGCACGAATAAAATGCAACAATTAATTTGCCCATTAGAACCAGAAATGCCAATAGGAGCACAGAAAGCTGATCTAGAATCGGGAGCTCCAATACAAGAAAGATAGATATTCCATTTCAAGAGAGAGAGACTGAGAGAGAGAGATATTTATACTGACTTGTGTATTCGATTATGGACCCAATTAAGATAATATCATTTAATTAAGTCGTATTATTATTTCCAAAAAGATTTATGGCATTTGATTAGTTGGCATTAAATCATAAATAAATGACCACGCTTGGCCTTTCTAATTGTCAAGCAAGTGTTAGCTTCCCTTGAAGTTTCTTCAATGCTTCTCCCAAATGCACGGATATCGTCAATGTGCAAAAGTTTCCTCACATCACATGTCGTCAATGTGCAAAAGTTTCCTGTCGCATGTCGTCAATGTGCAAAAGTTTCCTGTCATTTTTGTTTCCACATATCCTCAATGTGCAAAAGTTTCCTCACATCACATGTCGTTAATATGCAAAAGTTTCCTGTCGTTTTTTTTTCTGACGTTTTTTTTTTCACATGTCGTCAATGTGCAAAAGTTTCCTCACATCACATGTCGTCAATGTGCAAAAGTTTCCTCACATCACATGTTGTCAATGTGCAAAAGTTTCCTGTCATTTTTTTTTCACATATCGTCAATGTGCAAAAGTTTCCTTACATCACATGTCGTTAATATGCAAAAGTTTCCTGTCGTTTTTTTTTTCACATGTCGTCAATGTGCAAAAGTTTCCTCACATCACATGTCGTCAATGTGCAAAAGTTTCCTGTCGTTTTTTTTTTTTTCTGAAACCTTGCTGTCGTTTTTGTTTTTGTTTTTGTTTTATTGTTTTATTGTTTTTTTAGCAAGCAGCTAAGTTATGGGCTAGGAAATTAGCCTCCTAAGGAATCTTAGACAGACAAACAGCTTTAGAAATCATCCAAAAATTCGAGTTTCACTCATGATCTCTCGCGTTTCAAAATGCACCAAAAATATTATCATTCCCATCCTCTCCAATTCATCCAAAACCTGTTGTTTTATCCATGGCTCACCTGGAACTCCGGCTCTCGCTCTTTCCGACCTCGATATTCTCGTTGAGAAAGCGGGCCTCGGAAGCAGTGACGACGAGGTCGTCGAGTTTCTCTCGAATGATCCGCAATGTAACAGGATTCAACTCACCCACCACCTGTTTGATAAATTGCTTCGCCGGTTTAAGGATGATTGGAAGTCCGCTTTGGGCGTTTTCAGATGGGCCGAGTCACGCTCGGGTTACGAACATACTTTAGAAGCGTATGACATGGTTCTTGACACACTTGGAAAAATGAAGAAAATGGATAAAATGATGATGATTCTGCATGAAATGCGTGACAATAAAATTGTTACTCTTAACACTGTAGCTAAGGTTGTGAGAAGATTTGCTGGTGCTGGGCAATGGGAAGAAGCTGTGAGGATTTTTGATGAGTTGGGTAGTTTTGGTTTGGAGAAGAATGTTGAATCCATGAACTTGTTGCTTGATACTCTTTGCAAAGAGAATCGGGTTGAGCGGGCACGTGAAATGTTCTTGAAGTTGAAGGCTCATATTTTGCCAAACGCCAACACTTTTAATATTTTCATTCATGGTTGGTGCAAAGTCGGGCGGGTGGACGAGGCGAATTGGACGATCCAAGAGATGAAGGGCCATGGCTGCCGTCCTTGTGTCATAAGCTACTCCACCATCATCAGGTTTCATTGCTCTCAAAGTAACTTTGATGTGGCCCGCAGCGTGCTCGATGAAATGCGAGCCGAAGAGTGCCCTCCTAATATTGTTACTTACACTACCATCATGAGTTATATGGCAAAGGCAGAAGAGTATGAGCATGCTTTGGAAATAGCTGAGAGTGTTAAATCTGACCGGTTGAAACCCGACACCCTGTTTTATAATTCGTTGATCCACATTCTAGGGAGAGCCGGGCAAGTACGTGAGGCCATTCATGTCTTTGAAGTTGAGATGCCCAAGAGCAGTGTTGTCCCTAATACATCAACCTACAATACCATGATTGCCATGTTTTGCCATTGCTGTCAAGAGGATAAGGCCTTTAATGTTCTTAAAAGGATGGAAGATTCGGGGATTTGTAAGCCTGATGTTCAAACGTACTACCCATTGCTCAAATCTTGCTTTAGAACTGGCAAAACAGATGATTCTTTAAGCAAGTTATGGGATGACATGGTGAAAAAACATCATCTTAGTCTTGATATATCAGCCTATACGCTTCTGATTCATGGGCTCTGTCGAGCAAATAAGTGTGAGCGGGCTTACCTCTTCTTTGAGGAGATGATTGGTCAGGGAATAATGCCCAGATATAAGACGTGTCGTTTGCTTTTTGAGGAGGTCAAGCAGAAGCATATGTATGATGCTGCGGAGAAGATTGAAGACTTCATGAAGAAGATGTAAATGTCTAAGGACAGCATGCCAAGGTCTTGCATACTTGCATTCTTTTGAGATGACAAAAGATCCAACAAAATCATAGTTTTGTTTTATCCAACAAAATCATAGTTTTGTTTTTCTTTTGCTGATTGCAATTGCTTAGAGTTGCAATCAGCAGAACATATCTTCCAGTTTTTTGTAATGATTTTTGTCTAGGAACTGAAGCAACTTAAGTTTAGTACATCCGAAAAATATAAGGGCCTCAATGGTGCTTTATTGTTCATGATCGCAATGGGTTGGCTTGGAGGCAGGGTAGCCATTCCGCCAATCCTTCCCATGAAGAAAAATAACCTCCATCATTGCCCCGTTTAACTAGTTTAAGTTGATGGCGGAGCGGCTTTTCCCAATTACGGGGGTTCATGATATTTGCGGTGCCCATTTAATGAGTCGGTTTTTAAGATAAAAAGCATACACATGCATAGACTTTGAGTTAAGATGACTATTAAATCTTTTGTCCTTTCATTGTCCTAACCCGATTAAGATGACTTTAACCTTCTCCATTTAAGGTGGATTTCTATGAGTAAATGAGTTTGTGGGTAAAGTTTTCGGTCCCTTTTTACTATCATTGTTTATGGAAACGTAGATTATGTAACCACGCCTAATATAGTCGGGGTAAAAAACAAAGACACTTTTTTTTTTTAATTAATTCAGAGACAAGATTCAAGACTTTGCTAGTAAGTAGTAACGTTGGATATCAAATATGTACATTTTAGATGCAGAGTCACGTGTTTGTGTCCTTTGTCCATACATGGAACTAAGAAAGTACCTCAGATTTTAGAGAATCAATCTCGTGATCCAATGATGCTGATAACAAGTGAGGTGAAAACAAAAACTAGTAAGCTATACCCAAGAACTAGATCAAGGTGTTTCTGTGTATTTCCTTGCCATGAACTAAGCCATGTGCTAGAGGGACCACTTTTATCGTTTTTTTAAGTTTAAACCATTGTAAAGATTTTATGACACATGTGAACAACATTTTTTCGTAGACCATTGCCTCCATTATGTTGCTGCCAATACTGAAGAGCCTTAAATAAGCTATTATAGAGCTCCATGCTTGAAAACAGAAATTATATGGCTTAAACAGAATTTATATTTGCTTAAATACAATCACAGGGAATGGAACATACATGATACAACTACTAGTTTGTCATGGTGAAACACGAACTGTTGTAATGATGGAAATGTTGAAAAGATTTGCTTTCCACTAATATGTTCTAGTTGTGAACAAAAAGTGTAACTTTTGCAGGGACTTGGGTCCTGGAATAATGGAATCAATACTTTCTGCAGAATCAAAATCAGGAATTTCATCATTGGTGAGTTGAAACATGGTTGTTCTTCAGCCTAAAATATAGATTACTATATGACGGAGAAAATGAAGTATGACTGAATGAGTGATCTACAGTAGGCCATCACATGTTGGTCAAACTTAGTTCAATTTACATTTTTTTTTTTTTTTGTTTATCGGATGATTTAACAATTTAAAACTGTGTCGTGGTATATTTCTTTTTTTATGCTATCACAGAATTGTCACATTTAATACCAAAAGCCTGCAAACTTGTTGAAAGTGATATAGGCCGGAAACTTTTCCAAGAGTCTTTAGAAAACAAAAAAACAAGGAATGTTATGAGTTAGGACCACATTTCCACACACAACTACTATGTGGTTGGGAGCCAATAATATAAGAGTTGTGGCCTAAGACCTCTTGGTCAGCTTGCGGCACCGGGGGTTCTAGTGGAGTGAGGTTTAGGGAGAGGCTGCGGGTTCAATCCCGTCTTGTATCATAAAAGATGAGTTGTGGCTCTCTAAATCTACAGTTTTCTATGGATCAACTTCAGATATGGGTTTTTTTTTTATATTGTTTTTTATGTATATATTTTCTTCCTGAGAACTGACATCAATGCACTATCAAACTTGCTCGCCTTTAACTGGACATTAAAGCATTATTACAGTGAAATTTTATTGACCAAATGGTAAACACCGTAAAACTTAGTGGGGAACGGTACTACATTTAGTGTCTGCTGCCATTGCCAACTTGCACTTAACACGTTTTTTTTAATGGAGTGCCATGTCCCCCAACAATAAAAAAGCAAATAATAAGTCACTCAGAACTCTCAAAAAAAAAAAAAAAAAAAAAAAAAAAAAAAAAAAAAATTCCACCCATAGATCTCAAAACTAAAAGGAGAAGAGGGTCTCCATCTTGTGGTTTCCTTAATCAGTATCCACCTTCCTATTCAGTATTTACTCACCCAACTAGTTAGGTCAAGCAATGGCAATAAAAGAAACTCACTTGAGCAAGACTCAATAATGAAAATATAAACATCTTCTATATTTTTCTATAACCAAGTGATATTGTGGGTCTTACACCATGTTTGTTTCATGTATTCATCTATGATTCTGAATTATGATTTATGATTCTCTACAGTGTTTTTTTCTCACAAAAATCACACGTAAAATGAAAATAGTTCTGAATCATGATTCTGAATCTATAAATCAAAGACTATATTATTTTTTGGCCTATGCATTTACCCTAACAATATGGCCACGCATGTGGTAGTGACTATTGAAAAAGGCAAAAATTGAAGTTAGGACCCCTTGTTTTGTATGGGTAGTAGGTGTAAGATATGGTGTGCCCAAAAATTTGTAGTTACAAGCACCATGAGAGTGAGAGAAGCAGCAAGTTTTTGGCTTTTGCAACCAGTTTTAAAAGTGCAATTTTTTTTCTCATTTTTTTTTTCCTCAACCCGCTTTCAAGAGATGAAAAAAGTGCAAAATGACAATATGTAAAGGGCAGAGGAAATATCCCAAACTAAAAAAGAACTTTATGCTCTTAGCAAACCAACAAAGAAATAATAATTAATGAATAAAACTTTATACTGAAATGACCCAAAATACATAAAAGCTTATGTGTTTCAAATGTTATCTGTTCTGTCCCTTGCCTTTGGTCCTCTGTTATTTTCAGTTAATAAGTGCCCGTTTAGTTTGTCGATTTGAGTTATTAATTCGAGTTAAAATGTGACTCTATATGAGAATTTTTTATTATAGTAAAAAAGTCAGATATGACTGTTTATAAGAACTTTTTACTTTAATAAAATTCAAATTTTAAACTCGAATCGGTAAAATGAACGGGACCTAAAAATATTGAAACATTTAGGTCATGTTCATTTCACTGATTTGAGTTTAAAATTCGAGTTTTGTTATAGTAAAAAGCTATCAGACATAGTCATATCTAATTTTTTTGTTACAGTAAAAAACTCTCATATAAAATCACATCTTAACTCAAATTAAAAACTCGAATCTGTGAACTAAACGGGTCCTAAATTTGTTCAAAACTGAGGCAAGTAGACAAGTGCTTCCTAGTTTGGTCCTGTATTAATACATCTATAGTTATAGTCACATCTCTCTCCTCTATCTCTCTCTTGGGTTCTCACGGACTAAAAGAATCTCAATCTTTCTATGCTTAATTCTAACTTTTTTCTCCACCATATAATCTTTTTCCAAAAATCTTATTTAATCATGTGGTCTTTTTGTTTTTGTTTTTTTTTCTTTTGCCGTCTCTTTCCTCTATGAGGATCATACATTTTATTTGTAACTTCTTTCCCTTGAAACCAACGAGCCTCTCTCTCTCTCTCTCTCTCCCCCGGTAAGCTTCTTCAATTGCTTGGCCTATTATATGGCTCTCCTTCCTTTCTCTCCTCCTTCAAACACTACTTATCCCTTCTTCTCCCCATATTCTCTAATGGGTTTCTTCTAACTTTCCATGCAATTCTCAAACTTGTCAGAAAAAAATAACTGCCTTCTTTTGACCTTTATGGCTTGATTCTTTTATTCTTCATCATTTTTTAGCTTTTCCAAGACTTTCCCATCTCCAAAGTTTCAATCTCTCTCTCTCTCAATTACGTTTTCCACTTCCGCTAAGTTCTTAGTTTAGTGGAATTTCTTAGTTAGTTAATTTTCCCGGGAAAACAAAAGCAAAAGAAAATGGCACCACCAAAGTTTCCTTTGAGATGGGAAAGCATTGGAGACCAATGGTGGTATGCCTCACCAATAGACTGGGCAGCAGCCAATGGCCTCTATGATCTGGTCAGAGAGCTTCTCCATTTAGACACCAACCTCCTCATCAAGCTCACCTCTCTCCGCCGAATCCGGCGGCTGGAGACTGTCTGGGACGACGAGGCGCAATTCGACGATGTCGCCAGATGTCGCTCCCAAGTTGCCAAGAAACTCCTCCTTGCGTGTGAAACAAGGACTGGTCACAACTCCCTCATAAGAGCAGGCTATGGAGGATGGCTTCTCTACACCGCAGCCTCAGCTGGGGATGTGGAGTTCGTCAAGGAACTGCTTGAGAGAGACCCTCTTCTTGTTTATGGAGAAGGAGAGTATGGTGTCACCGATTTGTTCTACGCCGCTGCGAGGAGCAAGAATTCGGAAGTTTTCAGGCTCTTGCTTGATTCCTCCTTGACCCCTAAATGTGGCCTTAAAAGTGGAGGGTGCTTGGAGGAGGAAGCGCAGGAGCTGGGTTGTGAAGGCAAAGAGTTTAGGTGGGAAATGATGAACCGGGCAGTTCATGCCGCGGCTAGGGGCGGGAATTTGAAGATGTTGACAGATCTTCTTGGAGAAGATGGTGATAGTGAATCTCATGTTCTGACTTTCAGGGATGCTCAGGGGTGTACTGTCTTGCACACTGCCTCTGGAAGAGGTCAGATTGAGGTGAGTCCCTAGTTTCTCTCGTGTTATACGCTTCATATGTTTATCAGCTCGTTCACATTTGTTGTTTAGGATTTGCTCTTGTGATGTTTAGGAAGAAACTTTAACCTAATCTATATACTCTCCATATGGAAATAGCATCTATAAATTTATTGGCTTTAACTTCCTGTCGGTTGGAGACCAAATGCCATGGCCTACTTTTTTGGTCTATTTTGTTTGTGTCCTCAGATTTTCCTATTGCTAGTACATGCAAATGTTTATGGAACTTCCAATGCTAGCAAAGTTTGTCTATCCATACAATCCAATCTAAGCTTATCTACTAATAAATCAGGAGCAAGATATAGATAACTAGAGATTAACAATTATATTTATCTATTCGAGTTGTGCATCTTAGTTGTTTTTGTTTATTTGGATTATTTAGAGTTTGGTTAAGTTTTCCTTAACTTTCATTTGGTTAGCTTAACTATTTTGTGTTTGAAATAGGTCCTAATGACACTTTGATTAATGATAATGAAGATACAGAGTCATTGTTCTTATTCTCTTTCTATCTCGGTAATGTTGTTAAATTTGATGATTCTATCAATTTCAGGTTGTTAAGGATCTTACAGCAAACTTTAACATGATCACTTGTACGGATAATCAAGGGAACACAGCACTACATGTGGCCGCTTACAGAGGCTACTTAGCTGTTGTAGAGGTCCTAATTCTCGTGTCTCCCTCGCTTACCACTTTGCCAAACAATTATGGAGACACCTTTCTACACATGGCAGTGGCTGGTTTCCGAGCACCTGGTTTTCGAAGACTGGACAGGCAGATTGAGCTCATGAAGAAGCTACTCTGTGACAATATTGTGAACATCAAGGACATCATCAATGTGAGGAACAACGATGGAAGAACCGCTCTTCACATGGCTGTATCTGAGAACATCCACATCAACTTGGTAGAGCTCCTCATGACTGTTCCATCGATCAATCTAAATATCCGCGACGCCTATGGAATGACTCCTCTTGATCACCTCAAGCAGCGGCCGCAATCAACCTCTTCGGAGATTTTGATCAAGCAATTGATTTCGGCTGGTGGGATCTCCAACTGTCAAGACCTCAGGACAAGAAGTGCCCTTGTTTCCCACCTAAAGACGCATGGCATTGGAACTAGTCCCGGGACTTCTTTCAGAATCCCGGACGCAGAGATTTTCTTGTACACAGGCATTGAGAGTGCCAATTCTGATGCTAGTTGTGACCACGCTCAATTCAGTGAATTCTCTGGTGATCTGAGCCAGTTTGGGTCTAACAACTCATTGATGAACAACAGTAAGAAGTCAAATTCCGCAAACAATGCTGCCAAGCGCCTCAAGTTTTTCCTCAGATGGCCTAGAAAGAAAGACAAGAAGAAGCCTAATAGAGAAGACCTCAGAGACAACGATTCTCTCGATTCGTTAAGCAGAGACTTTGAGGACAATCCCATCCCTCTTAGGCAGATATATTCGAAATCTTCGTCTCTTCCCAACAACAGAAGGATATATTCTGATGGGAGTTTTCCAAGCCCGTCTACTAAAATGAGATTTTCTGCTGGATTAATGCACGGAGTGATCAAGACAATGCCTCATTTAACTACTGCTTCGGCTGATCACTATTCTGCTTCGAGTACTAATTCGGGGTCGTCCATGTCTTCACCTGAGTTCATGGACAAACAAAAGAACCTAAACATCAGGGGACCTTCTTGCTCAAACCAGAAAGAATCTGATATGAATGAGTACTTCTGTTTCGGCGCACAAGGCCTAGTGCCCGTGGAGGATTCGATGAGCTGCACGGGACAGCAACATCAGAGTTATAGACATTACAGTTCTCTAGTTGCTTGATCTTTGTGTACATACAAACGAGTTGGTCTTGAGTTGAAGGTTATTGAGCTCTTGATGTTTGTTTGTTTTTTTTTTTTTTTTTCATTCTTATACATGGTCTTTCAGTTAAATTTTTTCCCCTTTTATAAACCACGTCTGGTGAATTTTTCTTGTAGAATATGTATATCACGTGATATGATCACTGAAAAAAATATATTCATGGATATGTTATGGAATATGAGTAGAGCTATATGCATGGATATCTTGGGGAATACAAGTTATGCAACCATTTTTTTTTTTTAAGGCTTTCCATGACATGTTTGTTCTACAACACTGACTATAGGATTGTTGACTCATTCAGAAAATTTGTTGCAATTTTAGAAACAAATAAATAATAAATAAATAAATAAATTCAGCTTCATAATAAACTTGTTATGTTTATTTATGCGTGAAACCGAATGGCTATTAAATATTTAAAATTTTAGGATAATAGGTGGATAGTATTTGTTTTTTTTTAATCCAAACGTTTTTTAACTTTTTAAGCCTTCAAAAAATTTCCCAACTGTGTATAAAAAAAAAATCCCAACTGTCAAATTACCAATGACACCTTAAACGCTTCAAGTAACAACTTGTTGAATGTTTAATAACAGAGAACATGCAGGACTTTATATATATATATATATATATATATATATATGTATGTGTGTATAGAAACAGAGCATGCAGGACTTGATTTTGCTTTTAATATCTGCTGCTATAGTTCAACGTCCGAATCTCTAAATTATCGGCAGAAACAAATCAACATGTTTGAAAAGAATGGAAAAAAAAGAAAGAAAAATACACGTTAAAAGTATCTTATGAGATTTAAGAATTAAACTGAGGTGTAACTGTCAAAGTAATTGGATTTCTTTTTTTTGGAAAAAATATTTAAAACGATTAACTTTCAAAGTTTGAGTTGTAAAGGTAAACGGTTAAATAGTTTCCTAAAAATAAGGGGTTCTGTGGCGTAATTAGTTAAGTTATTCCTAATAGTAAGGAATCCTCGACGTTTAAAGTTGGCACTGATTTGTCTCAGAATTCTATTATAAATAGAGAAAGCATCAAGGGAAAAGAAGAGAAGAGAATCATTGTTTTGTGTTTGAATATTCATGTGTGATTTTGTGACTTTTGGTTGAGTTTTGAGTGCTGAAATTCTTCTGTTTTTCGATTTCTTTTAAGAAGAATATTGGTTTTCACTAGATAATCTGTTAAGAAAAATGACTGACACAAACGAGGCAAATAGCCAATCTGAAAAGGATAAGAAGATTGAGAATTGGCTTCCGATCACATCATCAAGGAATGCCAAATGGTGGTTTTCTGCTTTCCACAATGTCACTGCCATGGTAGGAGCTGGTGTTCTCAGCCTTCCTTATGCCATGTCAGAGCTTGGATGGTACGTACGTTTTGTTTCACTCCTAGGATCCAATCTTCTGTTTTCAAATCTGGTTTTGATCAATTCAAACTTTCATGGTTTTTCTGATAAAAAAAATGAAGAATAAAAATTATTTCCTCTAATCAATATAATTGTTTTATTCATTTGGTATCGAACAATGCTAAGGGGCACTAATGGTACCGAAAACCACACACGTGGGACTCACTTTTTAGTAATTGTGGTTATTAATATCAGTGGTGCTTCCAAGCGCTCTTCTTTCCTATCTTTCAAGTTCTATGGTAAATAACTTTACATTTCGAAAGCCGTTGATTTTGGTAATATCTATAAACGTGTGAAGTGGGAATATGTTTTCAATGCATAAAACTAGCCAATAATTTGTTTTTCCTTTCATTTCTTGAATCATAGGGGTCCTGGGGTGGTTATCCTTATTCTTTCATGGATAATCACTTTATACACGCTATGGCAAATGGTGGAAATGCATGAGATGGTGCCTGGGAAGAGGTTTGACAGGTACCATGAGTTGGGCCAGCATGCCTTTGGTGAAAAGCTAGGGCTTTGGATTGTTGTGCCCCAACAGTTGGTGGTGGAAGTTGGTGTCAACATTGTCTACATGGTCACAGGAGGCAAATCCATGAAGAAGGCCCATGAAACGATTTTCCCTAACATACCACACATGAAGACCTCCTACTGGATTGTATTCTTTGCTTGTATTCACTTTGTTCTCGCTCATCTCCCCAACTTCCACTCCATCCGTGGCGTCTCTTTCCTCGCAGCCATCATGTCCTTGAGGTAATAATGAACATCATTACCTATATGAAAACGAAGTAATACTAACGTACCATAACCATTGGTTTTTAACTGATCACAAATTCACATATCACTAGTGATCTAACATTTTTTTGCTATGTGCAGTTACTCAACAATTGCATGGGTTGCTTCACTTGACAAGGGAGTTCAAGATGATGTGGATTACAGTTACAGATCTAGCACTCAAGCTGGTACTGCATTGAACTTCTTTGCCGGATTGGGAGAAGTGGCATTCGCATACGCCGGTCACAATGTGGTTCTGGAGATCCAAGCTACAATTCCCTCTACACCAGAGAAGCCTTCCAAGGGACCTATGTGGAAAGGGGTCATGGTGGCCTATATAGTGGTGGCTTTGTGTTACTTCCCTGTTGCTCTAATTGGTTACTACATTTTTGGAAACAAGGTTGATGATAACATCCTCATCACGCTCGAGCAACCCGCCTGGCTTATTGCGGCAGCCAACATTTTTGTTGTTGTCCATGTCATTGGAAGCTACCAGGTGATCCTAATCTCTCACTAATAATTTCGGCCAATTTTCCATTCTTCAAGCTTACGATATGTAGAAAGGCCTTTTTGACCAACACTCATGCTTGGTGTTTGAAATGTGGACAAAATTGTAGATATATGCAATGCCAGTGTTTGACATGATTGAGACCGTGTTGGTGAAGAAGCTCGATTTCAAACCTTGTTTCAGGCTTCGCTTCATTACTCGCACCCTCTACGTTGGTGAGTTCTCTCTGCTTATTGAGTAGACTGTTATGGATTAAACCTCTAAACATTTACTAATGAGAGCATTAATATGAAATAAAGGGTAAATTAACACACATATTCATAGTGGTTCCTCAATATTAGAGCAAAATTGCTCATCGCGCTGACTCTGTTATAGATCCAAATTAGTCTCCACATACTTAACATCTAGTATCATGAAATAGTACCATGCATCGTTGTTATCACAGATGTGGAGAAATTTTCACTGATATATGATCATATGGAAAGCTTTCTCAGTTAGTGATAGCTGTGAAATCACAGTTATTGATGCATAATCATTCGTCTTCGTTTGCAGCATTGACGATGATCATAGCCATATCCATCCCTTTCTTCGGCGGACTCCTAGGATTTTTCGGAGGATTTGCTTTTGCCCCAACAACATACTTTGTAAGTCTAAGTTTACAAATTTCCCTCTTAATGACTAGTACTAAAACTTGCAAGAGACAGATTTGAAGCCTTTTCTTCTCTGCAGCTTCCCTGCATCATGTGGCTCGCGATCTACAAACCAAAGAGGTTCAGCTTATCTTGGTTCGCAAACTGGGTATGTATATGACACCTTGCAATTGCTTAAACAGTTTTTTTTTTTTTTTTAGGCTTATATAATAGAATCTGATTTCTGTTTTCATGTCTATTTTTCCCTTTACACAGATTTGCATTATCCTTGGACTAATGTTGATGGTTCTAGCGCCCATCGGTGCGCTGAGGACTATCATTTTGAACGCGAAGAGCTACAAATTCTTCTCATGATCTGTGTTTACAACAAGGATTAGCGACAAGTTCTCAAGCTTGAACCAGATGATCTCGTTGAATATTTCAAAAATGTAGATTGTAGTGTGGTTCCAGCATTCTTTTAGTTTTCAGATGAATTTGAAAGACTTTTTTTTTTCTTTTCTTTTCTTTTTTAGGAACGATATTTATTCTTGGAAACTTTTTGTTCCATCCCTGTCATCTAAACCCCTTATTTATCAGTCCAAAACATTTTCTCGTGCTCTTGAGAATTTAAGATAACTGAAAAACTATTCAACATTTTGGATAGTTCAAAATATTGCACTGCATCAAATCAACACATTCTCTGCGAATTAAGATAACTGAAAAACGATTCAACAGTAGAAAGCATTTTATTACTCGATATTAATAACACTGATGTACCATATTTCTTCCTAGTCACAAGAAGTACACATATTATGTGTGTACCAAAATATGTGTTTCACATATATATATATATATAAGTATCATGTTATGTAGTGATAATGGACCAAATACCCAAGTATTTTCCATCAAAATCTAGTTGTTATAGATGGTGCAGTGCAGTTCTTATAACAAGAATCCACAAAACGTTCAGCAAAGTCCTCCACATCTTGATTGCCTACAATGTCAAACACACGTTATTAACAAAGTTAGAAGCTTATACCTAACATCGAGTTTATAACCAAATAAACTACCCAAAAAAAAAAAGTAATAAAAATTATTCCAGTTTATACCATACCATAGGTAGGAATTGGTTTTGAGGAGATAGTTTGGGCACAACAACGTGTGCATTCGTAGGCGGGACTTTGAGGCGAGACCTCGCACATGACCAAGCAAAGACCAAAGCAAGTTGCATAGGCAATGGGGCCGCCAATGATCACCGAGGCAAGCAGCTTACCGAGCATTTTTTCGCGCACTTGCCCGTTTTCTTGCCGCCGTAACTGACCTCTCTGGGAGCCGGGGCAGCTGAGAAATCAGCTAGAGCAATGCCAGCCAAAAGCATGCTCATCAACATCCTTGTTTTCACCCTACTACTCACTACCTCCATAGCCCCTCTCTCACAATATTTTCAATCTTTTTCTTCCAGGTGTTTTTGTTTGGTGTGCTGTAAAACTTGTTATATAAATTATTAGTGAACCGTCTTGACTATTTAAGGAATTCCCATTGATTTTGGTCTTGATTACAAGGATAATATGGACTATAATAGCAAGTCCAATATGAATCCTATCATGATAATATGGGGTCCGAAAAATGGAAGTGTTATGAATAGTAGTTGTCCATCTCAGGTAAGTCAGTCAATGTTACAATTTAGAATCTTGTTGTGCGAATAGTAAGTATTATGTAACCGTGAATATTGTTGAAAATTTTCTTATAAATAGTGCTTTAAGACTCTTCATTTTATATATATTCACAAGATTAATGAGACTCTCTCTTTAGTTTCTCTCTTTGAAATTTTTCTTAATAGTTTTGCATTTTCTTAATTTTCATAACAGGAAGCACATTGTTATTTTTTTTTCTTTCTTTTGGTTTTGGCCTCTATTTTGAACCGTATTCGGTTGATTTTTTTTCTATATTCGTTCATATATTTTGTTAACTATCGTGTTCCTTCTATTATGCTAATCTACCTTTATAAAATCCACTCCTTTAATATTTTAAATTCTGACTGCATATCTCTTATTGCAATATTCTTTCGTCAATTCCTTCCAAATATTAATTATAAGAAAAGGAAAAAAAAAAAAAAAAAAAAAAGAAGGGGAAAAAAATAGGGAGAAAGAGGAAAATAGGCCAAGACTTGAGATGAATTAAAATTAATAGGCCAATAGTTTACATAAGTTAATAAATAGGCCAAATTACTATTTTCGTCCATAACTTGTCTGGTTATGAACCATAACTTGACAAGTTTATCCATAATTTATCTGATTATGAACCATAACTTGACAAATTATGACCTATTAATTTCTATAACTAAAAGTTGGCCTATATACTTTCTTAAGCTTTTTATATTGGTCTATTTCCTACTATTTTCCAAAAAAATATGACAAAATGTTCACTTCCTCCCAAGGGTGATTAGCATACTCAATTATCTTATCACGAGACAAAGAAAATTGCTTGGAAACATCACTAGTGCTCAATACCATAATTAATAAAAATTAGCTGGAGTCCATAAGTTCAACCTTAATGTTAACATTAATAGATTAATTTTGTACTTGTATAATCTAATTCTAGGTGGTATTTTTTTAAAGTCATTAATAATATTTCTCATGCATGCTAATATTGAATTCAGAAGTTTAGTTTCATAATAGTGTGCATAAATCAAGCTTTATAAATATTGCCTGTTCAGCTGTGCTCTTAAACCTAGCCGTTGATTTTGCATGTGAAAAGATTTTGGTAAACTTTAAGACTGATTTAGAGAATTGCCAAAATTGGTAATAGTATATTCTTCTGAAAATAGTAGATTCTGTTTGTATTTGGCTTTTTTTATTGTCTGTTTATACATCCTGTGTCTGAAACAGTAAAATTTTCAGCTCGTAATCGTGGTCACTCTACATATAATACTCATTTTTGGCAACATTTACGTGGAATACCATTTTAATATTTTGGTTGAATGAATATTCCTTCCTTTCATTCTTGGGGAAAATAAATAAATAAATGGTAAACTAAAACTGCACGCACTACTAATAGCGTGAATAGAAAATGTCCCTCATATGAAATAATTCACTCATTTATTTATTAATATCTTTATTTTTGTTATCATTATTGTAACTAATATCATCATCATATGATCTTAATTGAGAAACGAACCCCCTAACCCCATCCCTAATCAATGAAGTCCAGATCTGTTGTATTTATTTTCCTGTCTCTCATCTCTCCACCTATTATTTATCAAGTCATTTAAATTTAAAAATCTAACCATGTAAATAAAAATAAATTACTAAAAATACTTAAATAAATCACGAATTGTTAAAATTTAATTGGACAGACATTTAAATGACATAAATTTAAAGCTTATATACATAACAAGAAAATTCAAGGATTTAAAGCTTAACAGTGTTTGGGAAATGACATAAATTTATATGTCTACAGTGAGAACCAGACGACATTGCTTTAAGTTTTCTTTAAATGAGATTAACATGAACAAGGCTTCCCTCTTTTTTTTTTTTCCTTTTTGATGGAACCTCATTTTTATTATTATTTTTTGCCAAATAAAATTAAGTGCCTTACCATAGAGTTATCAAAGGCCTCTCTTTAATTAGCTTTATTAAATTACGCCTTTTATTAACATGAAAAATTCCTTACTAGTTTCCTTTTAAAAAAAAAAACTTACCAGTTAAATGTGTCGTTTTTATGCTTGGGCCGGGCTTATAACCCGTTTCGCTACATGTGTCGTTTTATACTGTGACGGGCTTATAACCCATTTCGCCCAGTAGTATGAAAGTGGGCCAGGACCAAATGCAATTCGTGGCCTATACGTGATTGAAGCCCATTTACGGCCTCACCCGTTTGAAGCGTACAAGGGCATTATAGTAATAAGAGAAAAAAGAAGTCAAAAGTATAGAAGAGACCTAACAAAAGTGGAGCGAAAATTTCCCGCCATTTATCTGCAACTTCACAGAGTGGGAAGCTTGTTGAAACCCTAGAGATTGAGAACGAGAAAGAGACAGCCATGGAAGACGAAATCAAAGCAGAATTCAGCAAAGTGGGGTTCGCTCTCGACGATGAAGAAGAAATTCTCAAGAAATGTAAGCTTTTTTCTTGTTTTTCCTTTGGATTTCAACCCCAATTCCGAAAGCGGAGAATTCTAATAATAATCTCGTTGATTTAGGTCTTACTTTCTGTATAAATTACAACTTGAAGCCCTGCGATATCGTTTCGAGCTGGGAGGTTTACTATCTCAACAGGTCTACCACTTTCTCCTTCATTTCCTCTTTTTTGTTTCCTTTTTTTTTCCCTCTAATCAGTTTTTGATTTATACATTTGTAAGAATGTGTTTGTATTTGCTCCAATAGTTTTTGAAGGTTTTTGTCTAATGAATTGTTTAATTGATGGATGTGGATTTTCTTTTCTTTTTATTTTAGATTTGGATAACAGAACAGGTGGAAAAGATCTTATGTAAATTTTAGCTGTTTCATAACAGATTCGGTGTGATTTTGTGGCAGGCAATTGAATGGGTCGACCGTTCAAAATGCTGAAATGGATGGGTTTTTACTGCATCTGCAAGATGAGCAGAAAGAAGCAATTATTAAGGAGGAACCCGGTTTGCATATCTACTCGAGTAAAGATGTAGACATGTATGCAACTAGACATGAAGCTGATATAGTTGTGTGTATGAATTGGTATATTCATTTTGGATACGCATGTGGGAAAATTCAGAAAGAATAGATTTTTACATTAGTATTTATTTTTGTGTTAATTTTTCCTTATTGAGATTAGAAAGTAAGGTGGTACCTAGGCCGTGAAAGTTTATTAGAAGGCCACCTAACGTGATTGAATTTTGATTTTAGCCCCGCAAATGAAAATATAGGGTGTTTCATACACGTAAGAAAAACATTACTTGATATTTGGTGTTATTAAATTATTTGGCGGTAGAACTTTATTTTCTTTCAATTGATTTCGCTAATGTTCTAAATCCAAAAGACGATGCTTTTTTGTTTCAAATTAGAAAATTGATGAGAAATTGGGTATAGGATTTTGAACGACGAAGATGGAGATGAAAAAGAAGAGGTCCCTGGCACTCCAACACGCAATTCTCAAGACTCCTACTCAGAGCAATTTGATTCTACACCTCAGACAAATGGGAAAATTTTTTCTTCGGGGAAACCATCAAAACTCATCACACCCTTCGGACAAAGAACCCAAAAGTTTGTGGTGAAGTTTAGCATCAATAGTATGCCCAATATGGAGAACGGAGAAACAGAACTTGATCCCGAGAATAATGAGGATGATGTTATCAGGAAGATCCAACCTGGTAGAAGGTGCTCTCTGATAGTCCATGGTTCAAAACCAGGAACAGGCTGTAGGTTCATGTATGATAGGATTGAGGACAGGGTACGTGATTCTTATTGACAAATTACCTTTTTACCTTGTTCTTACTAAAACACGAGTTTTTCACATATAGTTTAATGCGCTTGAAAGCCGAATCCGAAAGTACGCTGTTGCATTTACTTCATCTAAGCTGTATGAAGAACCAGTGGATCCTACAGTTTCTTCCCAGGTATATTAACACCCGCACTTTTTCTTGATTGTTTGTTCTTGTATTGCCATTTCATAGAACATGACGCTGAAATGTGGGAAAGAAGTGATCTCAGTTTGCAACTTCTTCATCGCCACGTTGTTACTTGTTTGCTTCATGTCTAAAGAACTGTATCAATAACACGGCTATGGCCTACAAGTTAAAGAATTTGATTTTTTTTCCCTTTTCAGAAAAGCATATTTACTGTTGGCATGATATGTTGCGATGGAGAAGGCCATTTGAATGAGAAATCCACCTTGCTGCAAAGCAGGTAAAGGCTCCTGGAACTTCCTATTCGTCATAGTTATTGGCATGAGTCTATCAACAAGGATGACAGAGAAATACTTCCCATTCTCTGTAAAACATTTCCTAGAGTTCACAATACGAAGGATTTTCATCAAGGATTCAGATGTATTCGACTAGAGTATCATATGTGTGTAAGTTCCTCACTGCTGCAAATGGCATGTGAATTTTTTCTCATTATGGGGTTTTGTCATCATATTTCTGACAGTGTTGAGCATTCTGGAGGGCAACGTGTTCGTCTAGAATTACAAAACCTGAACCAATTTTCAATCTTTCCAGGCCAGGTGTGGAACATGATCTATGATAACCATAGCTACGGATCACTTTAGAACTTCTATATAGCAAATTGTTGAAACTGAAGGCGTTTAAACCTGGAAGGAATGCATTCATGCAGGTAGTAGGTATTGAAGGGCATAATCCTAGTGGACACTGCTTGATCGCTTCAAAATTTGTAGACTCTATCCCTTTGTCTGATATGGCTGATGTGGATTTGCATCCAACAAAGAAGCAAGCTTTGGAAAAGGAGATTCAGTCCAACGGTCTGTCTGGTCTGCAAGCTGAACTGTCAGTGGTACATAATCTCGCATCCTTGTCACTTGATGATTCAAGGCTCACAAATTCACACATTTACTTTCTGCACAGTTGAATTTAGGGTCAAATATGTCCACTTTTAGAAACATATTATCCGTAACTTGTTACTAAGGACATAAATATTTTTCTCTTAAGAAAAAAAAAAAAAAAAAAAATATATAATAAAAGGCCAAATGAAACCTATATATCAAGATTTCTTTTTCTAATATATCAAGATGACAATAAACAACACCGTATAAACCAATATTATATATATATATATATATATATATATATAACACAAAGTTTAGAGCAATCTCCCACTGTTTATATGCGTTTTGCACTTGAACAGATAATAGCGTCAGGCCCTTTCACCACAACAGACAATTTGTCGTTCGAGCCTCTGGTTGAGTTGCTAGCATATGCAAATAGAAAGCTGCCTCAATTGCTTATTTTGGTAAGGAGCCACTGATCTTCAAATGAAAGTCCTAATGAATTTTGATCCATCACTTGAGCGGGAAGGTCTGATTTTTTACTGATTGACATTTTTCTCAGCTGGGACCATTTGTTGATTCTGAACATCCAGAGATCGAGAAAGGAAGTACCAACAGGAGCTTTGATGAAATTTTCCATTTTGAAATTCTTAAAAGGGTATCTTTTTAAATGGACTAATTTTTCGATTAACATGCTATCTATGTTCCTTTTGATTTCCTTCTCTCTATCCCCGCAGTTGCAAGATTATGCAGAATACATGGGTTCTCATGCACGTGTGATTCTCGTACCATCAATACGTGACGCGAACCATGACTTTGTTTTTCCTCAGGTAGTGATTTTGAAGCATCAAACAAATATCGATTATGCTGTCAATTTTTTACAATTCAGATTATGTCTAAATATATTAACACTCAAACAGTAAGACTTAAAGGTAATTTTCTTGTTTTGCAGCCCGCTTTTGATATTCAGCCACCTGATCTCAAACATCAGGTACTTGATTTTGTGAAGTTGGAGCATTTAATCATCCCAACTAGCAGGCATCCTGAACAATTTTCACAAGGCGTTGTCATGTTTGCTTATCATTTTTTCATATTATTTTTCAGATAACCAGTATCACAAATCCAGGGATTTTGGAGGCAAACCAGGTAAAATACCATAAATTTGTAGAGAAACAATAATGAAGAGTTGGTCGCAAAGTTCCTGTCATCTGAGGAGCCTTTAATAAGCTCCTCTAGTAAGACAAAAACTGCTCTATCATGTTCTCAGTTCTGTAAAATCTTGCCGAAGTGCATTAGCTTTATTTATTAAAATTTAGGCACTGGCAAGCAGGCACTAAAAAGTGTGATAGCAATTAAGAAGTATGCCTAATCCTATTTAAAATTTTTGTGTTTCAGGTGAAAATAGCTTGCTGCTCCGTAGATGTTCTTAAACATCTTAGCGGAGAGGAAATTTCACGAAACCCAAAAGGTGGAGCACCCAGTGATCGCATGGGTAGACTTGTGAACCATATACTTGGCCAGCGCAGGCATGCTATAACCTTACATCTGTTTTAAATGGAAGAGGTCCTTTTCGAAATCACATCTTTTTAATCTGATGTTTTACTTGTTTCCTACAGCTTTTATCCTCTATATCCACCAGCAGAAGGTGTTCCATTCGATTCTTCACTAGCTCCTGAAGCTCTTGAAATCTCTATGATTCCAGATATTCTCATTGTACCCTCCGACATGAAGTACTTTGTTAAGGTAACTGTTCATGCCAACTGTACAGTGCTGTTGATTCTTTAAAGTTCTTCACTGCGAAACTTAAACCAAGCAATCTGAATGTCGTTGAGAAAAAATTGAATCCTTTTCTGCCCTTTTTGCGGCACTTATACTTGCAGGTACTGCCCCTTGGTGGAAGAGGTGAAGGAGAAGAGCAAATGAAGTGCATTTGCGTCAATCCAGGAAGACTGTCCAAGGGTGAAGGAGGAGGTACTTTTGTAGAGCTTAATTACTATGGCAATCCCGACACAATTAATACTTCCATCCTAGGCATTTAGTTCATGTGGGCATCGCATTGGCCGCAATTCAATCCTCAAAATGTTGATAAGCCTGGAGATGAACCAAAAGCGCATGATTGCCATTTGCAAGGATATTAAACGGTTTTGATAACCATTGAAGTTCAAAAGGCTCCGCAGAGACTCATTGTGGTACCCTATTCCATTTCAAGCTCCACCGGCTGCCGGGGACATAGCATAAGTGGCTAATATATGTTTGTCTGCGTTGAGAGAGACTAACCTTCTGTTGTTGTATAGTTTTAATTAAACATTGTACTCACTCCTAGGACTTGTAGAAATTGATTGTTTATCTCATATTTTGCTTGTTGTTTTGACTCTCTTTATAGCTTTGCTCAGATGATAGAACCGATTCAAGACCCTCGCAAGAAAAGCAAGAGTCATATTCAAGTTTACAAAAACCCTGCATTATTGTATCTAATAATGAAAGGAACAGCCATAAATTCCATTAAAAAAAGAAAAAAAAAATCAGCTATACGAGTTACATAACAAGAATATGCCAGGTATGTACCTACTACTTACCTAATAATATCCCAATGCAATAAAGAAACCCTTCATTATTTATATCTAATTATGAAAGGAAACAATGTCGTCCAGACATTAATCAAAAGATTAAAAACAAAAAAATGAACAGATTCTAATTCTCAATATCCTTCTTCTGCACTTTACGACATCTTTCTCTGTACCACTCAATCCATTTATCCGAAACCCACAAAATGCTAATGCAGATTGCAGTTGAGATAACAACCATCCAAGAAATCCATGCCCATCTTGGTATCAAAACAAATACACCTTAAAATAATATCATTAAAGATTTTTAAGTCTCAACATTAGGCTATGAAATTTTATTTTTATAAAGTAAGTAATTTAATCGATTATTATCGATAATTTGATAGATATTGCCGACAAATGGCATAATTTAACAGATTATTATTTAAAATTTAATAAATTATTATTTATAATTTGACAAATAATTATGAAGAGAGTAACCTATCACAATAAAAGAATAAAAGTTCAGAAAGACTGTTTAAGGGTCAGTTTTTGCTATTTTCTCAATCATCATCAGCAGCCCCACTAGCATAGAAAATCCCCATCTTCAACACAAACAACGGCCAAGAACCGCCCTAAAAACAGTATAGAGAGCATAAAACCGTGGAGACAAGAACTCATAGAGTCTCAAAACCGCAGGCAAGTCGGCATTCCGGTAGCCAGCTAGGGTCCAGACGTTCTGACACCCACTTGTGACCTCGACAAAGACGAGAAGTACGAGGAGAGCAAAAACGCCATGTTGAACAACATAACGACAAGTTATGAACCCGTAGAGCGCGGCCAAGTGGTGGCATATGAAGAGAATGTCGTTTGGGAAGAAGACCATGTAGTGAAGGAGGTCTACCAAGAAGTAGGCTATGCTGTACTCGAGCAGAGTGTTTTGGGAATTGGTGTTTTATGAGGCGAAGATATTGGAAGTGTGGGTCTGGAGAATTGCATGGATTGCCAACAAAACGGCGGGAGTTCCGTGAGCCAGAGAGGTGAAGCAACTTGAAGCCTCGGCTAGATGTTTTGGACCCCAGTTGCGGAAAACGACAAAGTAGGCAGAGAGATATACTAGGAGGAACATGGAAAAGAATGTGGATAGTGTTGGGTTGAAGAGATTTTGGGTCTCCATTAATTGTTCAAAGTTCTTTGAGAACAAAGAACAAGCAGGTTGTGCAAGGAGAGAGGGAGACAGAGAGAGCGAAGGTTATGGATTATATTTGGAGTGAAGGGATTCATATAGTTGAGCACGTCACGTTTGTTCTTTATTAAGCTGTAATTTACTCTGTGTGAGTCTTATTTACTTCACACAGATTTAAATTTTTAATTTAAATTAAAATATAATATTTTTTAAAAAAATTTTATTATAAAAAAAAATTAAATATGATATTTTTTTAAAAATTTTTTATTGTAAAATGTGAAGGAGTCCTAAGTAAAAGTTTGGAAACCGGATTGCTTTTTCAAGCATCAAATCAGTACGGTGCAATAAGGCGATAAGCTTCAGATGGCTCTGAAATCAACGGTGATTAGTTTGAGCCGTGATTTAAGAGTATTAAGAGGGGTTTAACGCTTGTTTTTTTGAGTAAAAAACTTAAAAAAATACAATTTAAATTATAATTTTATTTGAGTTTATATTCTTTTAAATTTAAACTCGAGTTTAAACTCAAGTTTAAATTTGAGTTTAGGACTAAAACTCGAGTTCAAATTTTCTCTTCAACTCGAGTTCAGAAACTCGAACTCAAATTAATAAACAATATTTTTTTATTCTTAAAAATGCTATAACTTTTTCGTTTTAATTCTGATTGAGATGATTTTTTTTTCTATGTGTTGATAATGAAAAGACGAATAAAATTACACCCATATATCCTATTAAAATTTTTCATCAGTATTGAGTTTTTATTAAAATACTATCTAAATACAAATTCAAGTTTTGACTCACTCAAACACAAACTCAAAAAGATTCTTATCTCAAACCATAACTCAAATGTACATAATCAAACACAAACTCAAATTATAACTTCAACTTAAATTATAACTCAAATTCAACTCAAGAATTATACTCAAATTAAACTCTAAAAGAACAAACCCTTAATTTTTAATTTTTTTTAGGCAGGGGAGCAGAGGAAAGTTGGACGTCTCGAATAACACGTTATTGTGCGTTATCTGTAGGGGATATTCGAATCTATTATGATATATTGGCACTGGGTCGTGGTTTTATGCTTGCCAAAGAAGAATGATTTTCATGCGTATTTTGTTGAGTTATTCTTTACTTCTTACAAGTTATAAGAGTTATTAAATAACTACATTGAAGGAAAAGACTTACACTTTTTTAAAAATAAATAAATAAATAACAATGGTCCCAATTACGCAATGTTCCTTTTTTTTTTTCTATTTCTATTTCTAACTAAAAATATTCTGATTTAATCTAATGTTCTTAAGACCCAACAATAATATGTGACTTTTAAACCACTTGTTGATTTCTTTACAAGTTAATTGAAGCTTTCTTTAAAATAAAGTTTGAGGGAGGGAAATGTAACCAGTTGAAGCCCGTGATTCCATTTCTCACTATTATGATCTAAGAATAGGAAGCTCAGAGTCTCTCTTGCTCGATTAAAGTGATTTAGTTTTTGACTTCTTGATTCTAAGTTTTTTTTTTTTTTTTTCTTGATTCTATGATTTAGTTTAAGAATTCAGAATGTTCCTAAAGAGTTACCATGTAATAACGTAGTAATATAAATGGACAAAATTAATTGAAATAACAAACAATATAATTAAATGAAAATTTCGACAAAAAAAAATTTTCTGAGAGAGGAATTGCTTGGAATTCTAGTGAGAAACATGCGTCGGTTAGAGCATACAACAATTTTACTTCCTCTCTTTTTCATGTGGAATAAGAGGTTTTTACTTTTGTTTTTTCAACTTAAGAGTACACTTAATTTCTCATTCACCCGTGCATCATTTTCAGCCTATGAATATATTATTTCAATATGAATATATGAAATATCATTTTTCATCTTCTTACGATGGTGGCCGTCCTTAACGCGAAGTGTGTCGTACTCAAAATCAAGCATCAAAATGTGTTATCACGTCATTTTTCCAATAAATTTCACATTGTTTCAAGTCAATCTGTATAAACGAGATACCGTTTGTCAGCTCTTCTTTATACACAACATGCCTAGCCTTTTACCTACTTGGTACTAGGAAGTATCCAGTCTGCATCACTGATTTAATTATACAAACCCTTTATTATTATATAAACATTATATGTCATGCCACTAGAATGTTAATTTCAGAATACTGAGAAAATTACACAAAAATTTTATTAAAGCATACCCGATCTATCCAATGTTCTTGAGACCAACAATAATATCCGGCTTTACTGAAAACTACATTCCATTAATGGTAAGGCAAGCGCAGCCCAAAAGAAAACTTTTAAGCCACCCTTGTTCGATTTCTTAACAAGCTAGTTGAAGCTTTCTTTAGAACAAAGTTGAAGGAAGAGGGAGCAAAATCCTACTACGAGCTTCCATGTAATGTGTGTCGTACCCCAGTTTAAGCCTATGATTCCATTTCTCACTATCCTGATCTAGGAATAGGAAGCTCTCTCTTGAGTGCTCGATTAACCGTGCAGGTTCAGGAGCCTACATTACCATCCCTCCATCAATGGTCAATACCTGCAGGAAAAAGAAAACAAATTTAGTCCTTCATTTAGATATACTATTTAAGTTTGTAAAGCTCCATTCAACTACTTCTTAAATCCGAACTAATTGGTTGATGAAATTGAAAAAGAGATCAGAAACCTGTCCAGTTATGTAACTTGCTGCAGGACTGAGGGCCAAGAATTCCACTAGCCCGGCAACTTCTTCTGGTTGGCCATATCTTCCTGAATTTGTGGAAAATGAAAAGAACAAAAAAAATAGTTAAACCTATGTGTAACTATTACATGTTTTGCCCTGAAATTTCCAGAAGTTAAAGCACTAGTTGATATGAAGAATCAAATCTTCTAACAGCCTCACCTAGAGGAATGGTCCCCAAAATTTTCTTCTCCACTTCTTCTCCGAGCTTGGCAGTCATGTCAGATGCAATAAATCCTGGGGCAATGGCGTTAACCTAAAAAAACAAAGTGCATCGTCTACAACTCAATTACATCCATTGGCACTAGGGGCATATCCAAATGTCTAGAGGGAATACTCACATTGATGTTTCTACTGGAATACTCCTTCGCAACGGTCTTTGTCAGGCCAATTACTCCTGCCTTTGCAGCACTGTAATTGGCTTGCCCCACATTGCCAACTAGACCAACAACTGAGGCTATATTGATAATCCTTCCCTGCAAAATTATCACTTTGACTGAGAAAATGAAAATAAAAAATGCAAAAATAACTTCAGCAACTAAAGTGTTACTACTTTCTACTCAGTAAAACACAACAGTCCAACTACTTTCTAACAGAAAAGGGAAACCAAGGAACTCTAGAGATTGATTGATCTGAATAAAATTTATTGCACTCTTTCAAAACATTGGACATATAAGCTAGGGGTATAGGTAATAATTTTTAATTGGCAAGACCACATATGTAGCAAAAATTTCAAGTTCATACATAGTTCTGATACTAATTTGTGAAAGGGACCTCACTCTTTACCTTTTTCTTCTTCATCATAATTTTGGCTGCTGCCTGCAACGAGTAACCTGATCTTAGTTGCAAAAAGAGAACTCAAGTTTCAACAACCATAAAAAAGCAAGCCCTAGAATACACACCTGTGTACAGAGATATACGCCTGTAAGATTTAAATCAATAACCTCCTGCCACTGGGACTTCTTCATTCTCATCAATAAACCATCCCTAGTGATTCCTGACCATGGAAATTGATTGAGTTAGGAGACGAAATGTGGAACTAATAATAATAATAATAATAATAATAAACGTAAAGCTTCCGACAACCTGCATTATTTATCAGTACATCAACAGTTCCCCAAGCATCAACAGCCTGCAGATGGAAATTTTGAGTTAAACCATGAGTTAGACCACAACTAACTAACGATGTCAAACTTAGTTTTGAGACAGCATTTACTCACAGTTTTGATCATTGATTCAACATCTGCTTCTTTAGAAACATCTCCACCAAAAGTAAGAGCTTGTCCACCAAATTCCTCAATCTGTAAAAGACAGAGAAAAGCCATCACTAGTTCGGCAACACATTCAAGGGTGGAAAAACCGTGCAAGAAATTGGGGAATGTAGAACCTACAGACTGAGTGCAGAAATATAGAATGTCCGACAATGAGAAATAGTAAGACTTTTCCCACTGAATTTGGTTTATGTTTTAACAGAAAAGTTTGTAGAGGAAAACTCTGAGAACGCAGCAATTGAAACGAGATTAATTCATCAAGGTTGCAGCTTGAATCCAATTGTCTACATATATAACACAAACGATTCTAAAGAGATCCTGATTGGACAAGTTGGTAAGCATCCAAAATAGAGACAACAAATTCCACTTCTATTATGCAATGTGCTAATTAAGAAAAGAGAAAGAACCTACGAATTACAAAAGTTTCATGGTCAGCTTATTAACATGATTAAGAACTCAGTCATCCTTAGTTCAAACATAGAAATTTCAAGCCTAGAATTCAGATCATATATTAAATAGAAACATACAATTTGCTAAAGAATTAAATAAATTTCAAACATGAAACCGAGTAGCACACATGTTAGTAGGACCTACTACTACTCACCTCTTTAGCAACTTCCTCAGCCTCCTTTGATGATCTAGCATAATTAACCAAGACCTGTTATAACACCACAACAAACATGCACAAGGATCATAACAAGGAATCGTGCATGAATAGCTGAATATAATTTGCGTGGATTTGCATGATATCGACCCAAAATTTCCTAAGAAAACAGAAGAAACCAACCTTACAACCAGCTTTTCCCAAAGATAACGCAACAGCCCTTCCGATACCTCTAGAGGCCCCTGTCACAATGACTACAGGAGCCTCCACATTTTGAGCTTTTCCAGTGCTTGTTTGTTCCAGAGTAGCAACTTGAGCTCTTATACCCCCTGCATCAGCCACCATTAACAACGAGGTTTTCAGCTATTTGTAGAAAACGGCTTTCATAACACATATAAAGAATTTGACATTAGCGAAATCCTTAATTCCTTAACGAAATGTTTCAGACTTTCCGTATCAATCACCGAAACTAATAAAGTACTTCTCTTTCTTCGAAAATTGCTTTCTTTTCACAAATTAAGCCGAAATTTGACAAATCAACATCCATATCACGATCAACCACAGAGAAAGCAGGGGGAAAAAAATCAATTACCTGACGAAGCAAGAGAGCTCTTCGATTTAAGGCCAATGCAATGCCGAAGCTGAGCCGATCGGCTACCGACAGAAATCGGAGACGATTTCTTAAAATGTAGGATTCTCCGATCACTGGAAGCTCCGAATTTCTCTGAAACTCGGACGGATTTGCAAGCGACGACGTTTGATCCAGCGATAGCAGCCATTGGTGAGCTCCCGAGAGTAGTCTCTGAAACAAAGAAACGAATCTGAAATGTTCGAAGAGAATAGTCTCGATGGAAACTGAAAGAACAAGAAGCAGAAGAAGAAGACGGTTTTATATATAAGAACAAAGATCGAAAACCAACTGTATCTGTGGCTTTGGAAGCTCCGGAGTGTAATGTCGTGTTTGGGCGATGGGAACGAAGCTCGTTTGTTTCGGTTTCTTCATGTGGGAAAAGGATTAATTGACATATATGCCCTCCTGCTTAATGGTGTATTACCATGCAGCCAATGAGTTTGACATGGGCGCCAGAGTACTGAGGAGGGGCAAATTGGTAAGCTAGGCAAAAATTGATTAGACAGAAAAATTAGGTTGGTTATCCGACACCTGCCTTCTTCAAAATTTTCACCAACAATCCAACCGTTCCGTTTTTGTTTAGTCACCTTACCTTGTCGAAATTTCGTCGTCTATCGATCACTATAATATATATGGTAATTAATGCCGTGGTTTACTAAACATGAGATAAACATGAGAGACAAAGGGGTTGTTCTTCTGTAGTTTTAAGTTAGTATGATTTGAGTGAGGATTTTGAGTTGAGTTTGAGTTATAATTTAAGTTTGTATTTGGATGTGCACATTTGAGTTATGATTTGAATTGAGAATCTTTTTGAGTTTATGTTTGAATGTATCAAAACTTAAATTTGTATTTAAATAGTATTTTAATAAAAATTCAATGGTGATGAAAAATTTTAATAGGGTATATAGGTGAGATTTTATTCGTCTTTTCGTTGTGAATGCATAGAAAAAAAATCATCTCACTCAGAATTAAAACGAAAAAGTTATGATATTTTTAAGAATAGAAAAAATATTATTCATTAATTTGAGTTCGAGTTTATGAACTTGAGTTGAAAGGAAAACTTGAACTCGAGTTTAGTTCCAAACTCGAGTTCAAACTTAAATTTTACAAAAGAACATGAACTTAAATAAAATTGTAACTCGAGTTCAAATTTTTTCTGACTTTTATTCCAAAAGAGCAATCCCAAAATGACCGTGACTTGGAAAAAGGGCTTTAGCAAAAGTTCAAAACTATCCCTTCATGTAGTAATAATATTTTTATTATTGACCATTTTAATCGTAAGTGTTTATTTATTAAAATATATCACCAAAATTAAAAAAAAGTAATAATATTGAACAAAAAGGGCAATATTAATTTCACTTTAAATTTAAAAAAAGTCAAGAAAAAATAGAGAATTTACCTTTAAAAGTTTATAAGTCTAAATTTTTACCTCTTATTCTTGATAAATATTATTTTATTAGTGTAATTATTTAACTAAAAATGTTATGAATCAAGAGTAAAGAGTACAAATTATGACTCATACTCTTTTAAAGAGTATTTGTCAAGATTACTCATTCTAGAATAATTTCAAAGTGGGCCTTTTCTCCACTTAGTTTTTTAAAGTCCAAAAACTTTCGTAAATGTAATCCAAAATGCTTAGATAAAAATGGAGAATTTACCTTTAAGAGTGCATGAGTCTGAACTTTTACCTCTTACTCTTGATAAATACACTTTTATTAGTGTTATTATTTAATTAAAAAGATTATAAATTAAAAATAAAAAGTAAAAATTATGACGTATATACTTTTAAAGGGTATTGGTTAAGATTACCCAAATGCTTATCAAGTAAGGCCCTCACCCCTCTTATTAAGCAAAAGTGGATCCAATAATGTATCCCAAGCAAGATCATCGGTCATTTGTTAAATGGTAAAAATGCTCGTTCTCCTAAAACATCTTGAATTTGCGTATGAGATACAAGAACAATCTGTTAATAAGGGATTCATAATGCTACACGAGAATGTCCTGCCTTCTCAAAATTATCTGAATGTCACCCCTTACTCTTATTAACTTTTTTTGTTACATAAACAGTTGCCATTGCGAGGCTTCTACTTCAATGAGAGTGAGCTTACAGAAAATATACATGTTTCTTTAGAACCATATCCAAAACTTTCTCATCACAATTTTGATTCAGCCAAGACTTTCAACCAACTTTGTCCCGTTTATAACACCTACTCTTTAACACATTTAAAATATATATAAAAAAACAAAACAAAACCTGGAATGTTAAAGCGTATAGTAGTTATCACAAAAGATTCTATTTACATGATGCTTAAGCATGCTTAATCATTGAAATTTGAAAAGCAAAAAAGTAGACCTCGATCAAGAAATTTCCTAATGAAAACTCTTGATTAAATATAAAAAAGCTCGAATTCTTTCAATTAGAATCTGTTAGGAGCGGAGATAATAAAGGAAAATTACTGGAAATATTAGGAAAAAGAAAGGAAATATATTGGCTGAAAACGAAATTCAAGAATCTTTAACATCAGTTTCCGCCAATACGAGTGTCCGTATGGAGAGGACAAGACTCCTAAGATACAATATAAACAATTCAATTCGATAACCTAAAAGCTAATCCTAAACAGATATTTATAGAAAACATCCATAAAGTATTTGTAACAAATAACTAAAAAATAAGAAAACATGAACTAAGTGGCGAAATGGCTGAGTGGACACGTGCTGGAGAGAATCAAGGAAATAGCTACTCCACTACTTGGTTGAATGGATCATCCTCCATGTGTGCTAAACCCAAAAACTGAAGGAGTTGGACTTGGTCAATGCTCCCAAGAGCCTTATCCCCACTTTCACGTTGTCTTCTAGAATAAGTCTTAAGAGGAGTTAGGTTCGTATCAGTGCACCCCTCTTGAAAAGACGCCTTGTCCTCAAGGCAGAAGGAAGGAAACTGATGAGCAAGCAAGTCATAGTCTTCCCAACTAGCCTCTTCAACAGGACGTTGACGCCATTGAATGAGTAACTCCAGAGTCAGAATTCCAGATTCTTTCACCCAACGGCGCGACAAAACTTTTTCAGGTCCCACCATGAACTCTAAATCAGCAGAAAATGGCAAAGGTGGAGGATAAGAAGTAACCGAATAGCCTCGAGCGGGACGAAGCAAGGAGACATGAAATATTGGATGCACCTTTAATGAAAGAGGCAACTGCAATTTGTAAGACACCGGACCAATTTTGTGAACAATTGTTTATGGACCAAAATACCTTGGAGAAAGCTTTTCATTGATACGTTTAGCAAAGCTCTTCTGCCGATAAGGCTGTAAACACCGAAAAACAACATCACCTACGTCAAACGACAGATCACGGTGCCTGGAATTAGCTTGGGCTTTCATCCGGGATTAAGCCTTCAAGAGGTTGGAACGCAATAACTTCAACATTTCGTCACGGGCCAAGAGCTGCTCTTTGAGATTAGCAAGTTTAGTTTCTCCGGGAACAAAGGAATGCAACGATTAAGGCTCTCTCTCATACACAATATGAAAAGAAGTTGTATTGGTAGTTTAATGGTAGCCTGTGTTGAAAGAATACTCAGCCTAAGGCAGAAATGGATACCAAGATTTAGGCTTATCAAGAGCAAAACAATGTAAATAGGTTTCAAGGCACCGGTTGACCACCTTTGTTTGCCCATCGGATTATGGATGATACGAAGTACCTATACGAAGACGAGTGTGACTAAGGCAAAAAAGCTCTTGCCAAAAAACACTTAAGAAGACGACATCACGATCTGACAAAATAGAGCGAGGTACACCATGCAATCAGACGATTCCCCTACAAAAAAGGAGCAGCCATCATTTTTACAGTAAAATGGTGAGATAAAGCAAGAAAATGGCTGTACTTGCTGAACCTATCTACCACAACAAGAATGGTGTCAAAGCCGTGTAAAGAAGGGAGCCCGATAATGAAGTCAAGGGAAATGTCTTCCCAAACTCGGTTGGGAACAGGTAGGGGCTACAAGAGACCAGCTGGAGCCAAAGTTTCATATTTGTGCTACTGACAAACCAAATAATTCTGGACGAACTGCTTCACATTGTGTTTCAAACAAGGCCAGAAAAAATTTACAAAGATCCATTTCAGCGTCTTTAAATATCCCCCATGTCCCCCAGTTGGAGAGTCATGTGCCTCAGACAAAATTTTAGCTTTGAGCTCAAGATAATCAAGGACAACTAACCGAGATTTATAGTAAAGATGGTGGGCAGCCAGCGAGAAATCCGGATGGGATGATGAATCAGACTTGAGCAATAATCTGTTTGGTATACGGGTCAGCTTCAAGTGCTTCTCTTAGAGTACCAAAATCCAAGGAAATTGGCATGGTGAGAGCCAAAAATTCAACATGTTGGGGTCGACGGGAAAGCGCATCAGCACCTTTATTTTCGCTACATGCCTTATATATAATAGTGAAATCAAATGGTAAAAGTTTCATCAATAAATGTTGTTGTTCGGCTGTAGATACCCGCTGATTCAAAAGATATCGCATGCTACAATGGTCAGTTTACATAAGAAAATGTCGGCCCAGTAGGTAATGTCTCCATTTTTGTAAAGCAAGGACTAAGGCCAATAATTCACGATCAAAAGTGGATTTTATTCTATTAGAGAAAGAAAATCCCTTACTGAAATACGCAAGTGGGTGGCCTTGTTGAAGTAAGATAGCACCCACACCATTGGAAGATGCATCACATTCCACCATGAATTATTGCGCGAAGTCGGGTAAGCGGAGAGCCGGTACGGAGGTCAAAACCTGTTTAAGTTGTTGAAAAGCTTCCTCAACTTTGGGCGTCCACAGAAAAGCATCTTTTTTGGTCAAATCCGTCAAGGGCCGAGCAATGATACCATAATTTCGAACAAAACGCCTGTAATAACATGTAAGACCGAAGAACCCATGAAGCTCTTTCATAGTTTTGGGCAATGGCCAATCTAACACAGCCGAAATTTTGTCAGGGTCTACGGCTACTCCATCTTTTGAAATCACATGGCCCAGAAACCCAATTTGAGGTTGCCCAAACACACTTTTTGGGGTTAGCAAAATAAGAATTGGCAAAAAGAAGATGAAGGGCTATCTGGAGGTGTTGCTAGTGTTGTTGGGGAGTGGGACTATAGATTAAAATGTCATCAATGAAAACCAAGATGAATTTTCTGTGATGTGGTCTGAAAAGGTCATTCATTGCTGATTGGAAAGTTGATGATGCATTGGTAAGGCCAAAAGGCATTACGATAAATTCATAATGCCCTAAGTGAGTGTGGAAGGCTCTTTTTGGATATCAGCTGGCTGGACATGAATTTGGTGATATCCTGAACGAAGGTTAATTTTTGAGAAAATAATGGCTCTGTGTAACTCATCCAGTAATTCATCGATATTGGGTATGGGATATTTGTCAGGTATGGTTATTTTGTTAAGGCTTCTGTAATCAACACAGAACCTCCAGGAATCATCTTTCTTCTTTACTAGTAGGACCGGGCTAGCAAAGGGGCTTGAGCTTGGGCGGATAAAACCAAATTCCAGTAAAGCAATCACTTGGTTTTCAAGTTCAGTCTTTTGGGAATGTGGGTAACGGTAAGGCCTAATGTTTGGGGGCTTGGAATTTGGTAACAGGGGAATGGCGTGTGAGTGTGTTCTGAATGGAGGAAGGGACGTTGGTTCTGTGAAAACAGATTGGAATTCATATAAAAGTGTATGAATTAGGTTACCTGGTGACTCTAGAATTTTTACCTCTTAATAAATATCCTTTTATTAGTGTAATTATTTGACTAAAAAGATTATGAATCAAGAATAAAGAGTAAAAATCACGACTCATACATTTTCAAAAGGTATTTGTATTACTCATTCCAAAATAATTTCAAAGGGGGCCTTTTCTCCGCCTAGTTTTTTGAAGTCCAAAAACTTGCGTAACTATAATCCAAAATGCTTAGAAAAAATGAAGAATTTGCCTTTAAGAGTGCATGAGTCTGAACTTTTACATCTTACTCTTGATAAATACTCTTTTATGAGTGTAATTATTTAACTAAAAAGATTATAAATCAAGAATAAATGGTAAAAATTCTGACCTACACTTGTAAAGGGTATTAGTCAAGATTACGCAAATGCTTATCAAGTAAAGCCCTCTTAAACAAAAGTGGATCCGGTAATGTATCCCGAGCAAGACCACCGGTCATTTGTTAAATGGTAAAAATGCTCATTCTCCTAAAACAACATCTTGAATTTGAGACACCCCCACCACATGGAATGAGATATGATTACGCCCAAACGTATACAAAAACAAGCGGTCAATTGTAGTACAATTTGAACGGTCGATCCCACAAGGAAGTGTTAAATTGAACAAGAAATGATTAGCAAATAAAAAGCGTTAGGAAAGTAAGCAATCAAACAAAGAAAAAGAATGAGTGTTTTTAATGATTCTATGAACAATTTAAAATGGTGAAAATTCAATAAATAAAAGTGGTAAGGCTTTGAGAATCCTGCATATGCTTTGTTCACCTATTTGGATTTTGATTCATAAATTGACTCAATTGAAAGTTTCACATCCCAAACAATCAATCAGAAAATAAATATTTGAAGAACATATGAATTAAAAATGTATTCGAGTAAATAAAATTCTAACGTTTAGAATTAGGAAAAATTATCTTATGAGAAATCCAAGAGCGACAATATACCGTTGGCAATAATGCAGTAAAAGACTACTCATAAAATAATACCGATCAATATATCATATAATGCAACAATCACATAAAAAGAGCTTGACTAGATTTATATAAGAGTTGACAATAAAATATATTGATAAGAAGAAGAAATATGATAAAAGAAAATTATTTACTCAAATGTATAAAACTTACAAACCATTGGAGAATCAAAAATCCAAATAAGTTTACTACACATATAAGATCATCTCTAGCCTCACCTAAATACTCTAGCCTAGCTTGCACATAATTCTCATAAAATTCTAAAAAGAAAGTATGAG